GAGCTATGAAAAAAACAATCCAAGTAATTCAGAAAGATATCTCAAGCAATACTGAGGTCCCTGGTATTGGAGAAACATGAGATGTTTGAATAAAATTGTTCAAGAAAACAGAGTTTAAGAATTCAGAATGACAGCAGTTTTAGAAGTATTGGGAGCATTCTAAGACATTTGTTGCAACTGATTCAAATTTTTCCATGACGTTAATGAACAATGTTTCCATAGCAGCTTTCTCTCATCCAAAAATAAACAACAGACTTTCCCAGGCAGATGGAAAACAGACAAAATTAATCAGATTTATGAACTAATATTTATAATATTTGCTTGAATTTTCATTTTTATAAGTACATGGATTTTCAAGTGCCTATAAAAGAAATGAAACTATATACATACAACATATATCTAAATATCACATATGTTTATAATGTATGTAATATTGCATATGTAATATTACATTGTCTTTCATAGTTTGAATTTCTATGGCTGTGAGATGGGTTTCTATGATATTTAGATATAAGTATTTCTATGTACATATGTATTAAATATGTGTATGTATTAAATATGTATATGTATATATAAATATTGCTAAATATTACATATATGTATATACATATATCTAAATATTACATATTAAATATTTGAATGCATCTATATATTGCACATACACAGTCCACTTCTAGCTCTAAGAACTATAATTGTTCAATTTTTATGTCAAGCAAAACATCTAGAATGTTTTGTTTCATGATACGAAAATTTCTTCCCTTATTTCATTTCAGATTAAATAAATATATCTTACAAATCCACATCCATTTCCTTAAACTAGCTGCATAAATTATCTGGAAGTTAAAGATTTTTCCTGTTTTTTTTTTTTTTTAGGGGAATGTATGGATCTACAGATGTTACCAGTAGGTGGAGATTTATGTTACAGCTCAATTCCACTCATACTAGCATCCAACTTGCTGTGAGCAGGGCCATGGCTTTGATAAGCAGTGCTGTTTCTAAAATGTTGCTGAATACCAAAAACTTATGCTATAGGAGCCAGAGGCCTGCAACCTTTTGAATTCATTCTACTGCAATGATGAGCATCTTTCCTTTTGCTATTTTTCCGGATACATATCTGTCTGGAGTTATTTTATTCCCCTCTTTCATTGTATAAACTTATCTATGTTCTTTTCATTCTCTTCTCAATTTCTTGACTTATATGGGACCATATAACATCTGCTTCCAAATGCATGCCAGATGGATTAACATTGATTATTGGGGAAAAATATCTGAGGGAAAGGAGACCTACCTCGGTCAGAAGAGAAAGAAGAACTATAAAGCAGACAGTGATTGTCAGGAAGAAACTAAAACCACAGGTCAGAGTTTCAGCAGATCCAATAGTATGGCAAAAACCCAGTTTATACTGGGCTTACAGACACTCTGCACTTATTTTTCTCTTTCCCAAATTCTAAGCAAAATCTACCAGAATACACTGGCAGTTTGGTTGCTATTATTTCACTCAGCTTGGTCTTAAGTCTATATGGACTCAGGGTGATCTAAGTGATGACATAATTAAACAGGACATAGGATAGTAAAGGAGCCATCTAGGGGAATAAGGCCAGGTCTTCTTCTGGAGCTAAAGCTATAGTTTATGATTATGATTATGATTATTATTAAACTATTGGGATGTGGGGAGCCTGGTTTTTCCCAGCAACAAACTCACATGGACAGAACTCAGTAAATGCTATGTAAGTTATGATTAGCATCCTAGAGGATGACCCAGTCCATATGTCGCTTTGTTTAACCTTCAACATGGTTGTAATTTACATTTATAGCTCAAGCTACAGTTGAGGCTTAGGAGAAGAAATCTAGTGAAAATCACCTACCCCCAACGTAATACTTTAAACCAGACCTTTTCAATGCCAAATAAGTTATTTAATACCACATCTAGTATGATTCCCACCTTTTGCTTCCTTTTCAAAAATGTCTAAATATGGTCAAGGTTGCAGGGCTAAGAATGCTGGAGTTATATCTCTTAATGAAATTTTATGACCGAAAAACACTGTCCGTTGTTATCTCCCAGCCATAGAAGCTGCAAACTAATATTTTCTGAAGATAATATTTCCGAGCCATCTATGCTATGATGTGGGAACGATTTGTTGAAACTCATTCAAATGCTTTTGTTTGATTCTACTTATGGCCAAAGTTATTTTTTTGCTGTATGCTGAAGCTGGTAGTTTAGACTGTAGCCATGAAAAACTGATCAAACCCTAACCACAGGAACTCTGATATTTATGAACTAGTGTTCCATCTATATGGGCTGTCAATGTCCAAGAGTGAAGAATAATGGTTTCAAGGGAGTGTGTTGAGCTACAATGTAGCTCAGTGGTAAAATGCTTGCTCTAGAACATGCAATATCCTGGGTTCAATTCCCAGTACCAAAAACAAACAAAAACAAACAAACAAAACCCCAAACCTTCAAAGCATACTCATTTAAAACATCTTTGCCTAAGAAGCTATCTTAGTACTATTTTTGTTGTTGTTGTTGTTGGTCATGGGGCTTGAACTCTGGGCCTGGGCGCTGTCCCTCAGCTCTTCAGCTCAAGGCTAGTGCTCTACTACTTGAGCCACAATGCCACTTCTGGTTTTCTGAGTGGTTTATTGGAGCTATGAGTCTCATGGACTTTTCTGTCAGGGCTGGCTTTGAACTGCCATCCTCAGATCTCAGCCTCTTGAATAGCTAGGATTACAGATGTGAGCCACCTCGCCCCCGGCATTAGTAGTCACGATTTTTGAACTAAAGATGAAAAATGTATGTTTATTAAAATTATGTATATTATATATACTATATATAAACATAATAGATAAACCTGTCTTCCAGCAATGCATCTTCCAAGACAGTTATAGTCTTATGTTAAGCAAGTTGGGCTTGTTTTTATTTAAAGGCCTGAAATCCTTCTGTCATGGCAATATTTAAGAGGAGTGCAGGGCAGATTTTAAAGGACAAGTTTTTAACTCTTGCTTTAAAAGAAATGTGTGTTCACTTTTACTTGGGGTAACATATGAAAATATATAGTTGAAATAGGGGATTGTTTAAGTTCTGAGTAATTCAATCAAGAATGTTGCTTTTCGTTTAAAAAGGCAAGGTGAATCTGCACCTCGGGTGGTCTCCCGGAAATCTCTGGTACTGTCTTGGAGTGTCAGTGCTCCACCCTTCAATAAAATCTTCTAAGTTAAAAAAAAAAGAATGTTGTTTTTAATGGGTGCTGGTGGCTCACATGTACAATCCTAGATATTCAGAAAGTGGAAATCTGGAAGTTCACAGTTCCAAGCCAGTGTGAAAAGTCTGTGAAGGTCCATCTCAAAATAACTAGTAAGAAACAGACTGAAAAATGACTCAAGTGGCAGAACACAAATCTCACTACTGCTTCCACCTCTGTATATATGTGTATATATACACATATATGTGCATATGCACACATATATGTGGGTTATATATGCATATATATGTATATATACACATACATGTGCGTATGCACACCTATATGTATACTGTATAATATATAAGATAGTATATAGCATATACAAACACAAAATTATATATATGTAGAAGTGCGGTTCAGTGATTGAGTCCAGTCTTCAGTATAAAAATTAAGCTAGAGTGTGAGGCCTGAGTTCAAGTACCTCACAGACATATAAGAAAAGAACGCTATTTTTTAAGCACTGACGAAGATTTTAAATAAATTAACTTATGGATAAACCATTAAGATGCTATCATCTAATTTGCAAAGAACAGACAAATACACAGTTTAAACAGGAATGCTGAATTTTCTAAGCTGAGGTAAAGTTGGTGAAAAGCTAGGTGCATTCATTAACACATCCCACCAGACATGCATAGGTTTTTAATGCATGGTTTCCAACACTTACAGAGCTGATAAATGGCTTAACAACAATAAAAGGCAGAAAGCCTTAGAAGGGAGTTGGAGTTAAGTTAGAAAAAGCTAGTGCTCTTTGCTCTGCTTTTTGAATGCCTTGCCTCATTTTTCCCCCTTTGGCAAACTAGAGCCCAGTTCCCGAGGCTGAGTAAATCTGCCTAAAAACATGATGACCGATTATGCAAAAAGTACTGCTTTGGTTCTCAGTCTTACCAAGTAGCAATTCAGAAATCAACATCTATTTTTATACTAACAAGTAGAAAATCCATGTTCTTCAACGAGATAATTTTTTTCCTGAGACAGAAAACATTGTCCAACATAGATAAGCAGGTAGATAAAAAAAGAATTTGCTGCAGACATGTTCAGACAAAAACTGCTGATGGTTTGGCTCATTGAGTCAGTGAGGAAAACATCCAAATCCATACTTGAAGTCACACACATACACAAAGAAACAAATTTAAAGCTACTCAGGGGCTTCACGTCACGGTCATCTCTAGCAAGGCATTTCCACCTAGTTTTCAGAGCAGAGAGAATTACTACTTCCATCATTAGTTACAATTGCATGTTAAACCTCAATATTGCAGAAGGTGGAGTGATATACAATCTACAAATGGATATCTTTAGAGGGATATGCACCAGAGCAAATATGCATATCCAAATGTAGTTTACATTTTCCAGCTGCCGGTGCACATAGATACTTATTTTGTCCTGGTGAATTGTGAGGTCGGAAGCAGGCTTACACATATGCATCCACCCACACATGTACAGCCACGTGTACAGGTGTTGGCAGGGGAGTATGCACGCAGGCACGCATGCGAATTCTTCTTTATCTTAAATGATATCCGCTTCATTATTCAGATGGAAAGCTAGACAGATGTTCTGTGCTGTCTCTATTTCCCTTCAGATGTTAATTGGACTCCTGCCAACATTTGAGTGAACCAAGCCAATCCGGGCTAGAAAGGCTGACTTGAGCAGGCTAAATATAATGAGGAGACAGGTCTTGAATCAGGGGAAGGAAGATGTTTCCTTTCCTTTTGCAGCGTGGATCAGGGATGGGACCCAGAGCAGCAGAGACGACTCTGGGCCTCACTGGAAGGCAGGCAGACCAAACAGCTCCGGCTGGACATCCTCGAGGGAGTTCAGCACCAACGTGGCCTTTTTGGTCAAATCCCTGTCCAAGTTCTCATCAGGAACCATGATGACCTGCATGCCAGCTGCCACAGCTGCGTCCACACCGTTGGGAGAGTCTTCTAGAACTAGGCATTTTTCTGGCTCGACAGGAGGAGTGAACCTCTTGGCACAAGTGAGAAAGATATTAGGGGCTGGCTTGCTTTCGGCGACCTCGGGGTCATCGCCCACCACGATGTGATGAAACAAGCTAAATAGTTCCTTGTGGCTGGCTGTCTTCCTCTCGAAGGACTCGGTGCCCGCGCTGGTGGCCACCGCCAAGGGGATGTCGTGTTGGTGCAGGTGGCGTACGAGCCTCTCAGCCCCTGGCATGGCCTTGATGTGGGGACACAGCTCTTTCAGCATCTCCTGGCTCTCGTTCACCAGCTGATCCTTGGCTATGGGGAGCTTGAGGATGTTGATGATGGTCTGCGCCGCTTCCGGCGCCCTGCAGCCCATCACCCGCGACTTGACCACCCAGTTGAACAGCTGCCCGTGGCGCTTGCAGATTTCCTGGAACACTTGGGTCTGCAGGGATTCGGTGTCCAGGAGCAGCCCGTCCATGTCAAAGATGACATGGGTGACAGGCTTGAGGGCGGTCATGGTGCGGCCTCCCCGGCACCTGTGGGTGTGGGAAAACCCCCCTTCTCCACGCGCCCCTGGCCCGTGCGCCGACCGTTCCAGCGTGTTAACAGAAATAAGCATGATCAACAGTCCCTCCCTCCCTGCCTCCCTCCCTCCCTCCCTCCCTCTCTCTCCTCTTTCCTTCCAGCCTCCTTCGTCTCTCACTCCCTTCTACCTCTTTCATTTCCTTCTTTTTCTCTTTTCTTCTCTCCTGGGAACCGCTCCTTTCATTCCTCTCCTTTCCCTTCTCCTCCCCTCCCTTCCCTTCCTATTCCCTCCCCTCCCTCCTCCATTTTTCCTCTTCTTTCTTCTCTACTCCCTTCCCTTCTCTCTTCCCTGTCCCTGCTCTCTCTTCATGTCCCTTTACTCTCTGTAATCTTTCCCCTTCTCCCATTCTCCTCTTTGCCTTCCTCTTTTTCTTGCCTGTCTCCTCCTCCCCCCTTTTTATCCCTCCTTCCTCCCCGACCTTTCCTCTGTCTTTCTCTTCCCCACTCTATTTCTCCTCTCTGTCATCTTCTTCCCCTTTCCCCACCCCCTCTCTCTCCCTTTTATCTTTTGCCCGATCTCACTCAGCACCCCAAATATGATGCTTTCTGCATCTTCATAATCCAGTGGTCAGGAGGACAGGAGGCAAACTCCACTCTGTGTTGGAGGCACTTAATGTTCCTTTAGAGACAATAGCTCTTGGCCACATACAGTTTGGGGTTTTAGAAAAACCCATTTTGGAAAATAAAATAGTCCATGTTCCATCTGTGTGGGAAAAGCTCACAGAACCCTCCTATCAGGTTCAAGGTAATTTTCCAGGTCCTGGTCTAGGGTTGTTAGTCCCTAGCTAGGCCACTGCTGATTTGGTCTGTGTATGTATTTCTTACCACAAGTCAGCAGGTCACATGAACCTACAGACAACTATTTTCCTTTATTTTCTGTGAAAACCTTACAAATTTGATTGTTTTATTCTGCTAATCGTGTTTTGCATGGGCTTGTATTCGTATCTGTACCAAAATAAGACTTTGATCATATTTGTCCCCCCATTGCCACTTCTTGCCCCCCTCCCTGACGACTTCTTTCCAAATAACCTTCCTTCTAATTTCATGTCATTTTTAAAAATCTAGATTCTGCATCTGAGTGAAAGCATGCGATACTTATTTGAGTCCTCTTATGGCACTTAATATGGTCTCCCTTTCCATCTATGTTTTCCACCAATGACTTAATTTCATTCTTTTTATGGAGAAATAATCATCTATTGTGTATGTATGCCACACCTTTATCCAGTCACCTGTAGATGGCTGATTCCCTAACATGGCTATGTGACTATGCCACCATCAACATGGATGTACAGGTATCATCACTGTACACTGGCTTTCACAGCTTCAGGCACATACACAGGAGAGGCACAACACTGGTGGTTCTAGTTTTATGGTGTTAAAGAATTTCCATAGTTATTTCTATAGGGGCTGAGCTAATGTGCATCTCATAACAGCCAACCTCATCCCAGGTCAGCAATTACTTGTTTCTTTCCATCAGATAGCCATTCTGACTAAGGGGAGATGGAATCTCAATGTAGGTTTAATTTGTACTTCTCTAGTGACTATTGAGGTTGAGCATTCTTTTTCCATACATTCATTGGCCACTTGTATTTCTTTGGAGATAACTAATTTCCTTTTTTTTTCTTTTTGCTTATGTGGTGCTGAGGAATCGAACCCAGGGCCTCATGCATGCAAGGCAAGCGCTCTACCACTGAGCCACCTTCCCAGGCCAGAGATAACTAATTTCCTAGCCACCTTCCCAGGCCAGAGATAACTAATTTCCTACGCATGTCTCCAATCCCAGGCTCTCTGGCAGGAGGAGCTTTGGCTTGGAACAACTTCTGCTTAGCTAGATCTTCATTTCCTCCAGTTTCAAATGCATCTTGCTCATAGCTATCTTCCCTGACTAACATTTAGAAAACAATAGTCCCTGCCACAATGGTTCACACCTGTAATTCAAGCTACACAGAAGACTGAGAGCTGAGGATCCTGGTTCAAAGTTAGCTTGGGCAAAAATGCCTATGAGCAAAGAGCCAAAAGTGGAGATGTAGCTCACCTGGTAGAGAACCAGCCCTGAGCAGAAAAAACTAAGCAAGAGCTCAAGTCCCTGAAGTCAATTCCCAGTACTAGCACGGAAACAAAACAAAACCAAATAAAAACAAAATAACACCACCAAAAATAATCCTCTTCCCTCTTCTCAGTTACTTTTATATCTTGATAATATACCTTATTATATTTACAATACTCTTCATAGCTTACCACATTTTAACATTGTGGCATATTTTATTATTGAGGTATAATAGCTCTATTTTATATTTTAGACAAGTGCAAATATGATGTAAATGACACAGCCTAATTTATTAATATATATATTTAATTAGCTGAAAAATTTCTTGTGAAGAAAGCAATACAGATAGTACTGTTTTATTCTGTTGTATCGTGTGGGGTTATTTTGCAGCATAAGAGAACTTTCTGTGTCACAAAATGTATTTGTTATGTATAAGCCATAAATAATTAGATGTAGGATAATCAATAGGATTATTAAAAAACTGTAGTGTGTTGTTAATATTTAACATTGAGCTCTGGCTGTGTGTGCAGTCTAATTATGATTTTTTTAAGTAAAGGCTCTCCAAATCAAAAGCTCAAGGAAATAAAGAATAAGGAATGAATTAAAGTATTTGTAAGGCATGAAAATGATGGTTTATGGTTAAAAGTAAGAAGGAGCATAGAAGCAGACTAACTGGAATTTTAAATTGCCAGTGAGGGGGAACTTTTCTCATTATGCAGCTGAAAATAATGTTACATCAGGGAAAGTTCTGGAATTCTACAGATTCTTCTTTTTTAAAAAAAATAGTGAAAATTACCTATTGGAGATCATTTATCTGTCCTATATTACCAGCTCAATATACCAAATGGACTATTTCTAAAACTGTTGCTGGAAGAACTAAAACTAATTCCCTAATTGTTTGTGAATAATTTGGATCTCTTTTGGGAACACAAAGTAGATAATTCAAACTCTGCTTTTTTTGTGTAGTGATTTTAATCAGAATGCTAGCATATTAATTAAATATGGCAAATAAATATTCTTTCCAATTATGATAAGTAAAAGCAATAGGACAACTGGTTAAGAAAAAGAAGTTTTATGAATTGGAATTATTTTATTTGTATATCTTTTCAAAACTACCATCTCATCTTTGCCCAAAAAACAGCTGTTTGGCTTACCCTTATGTTGAAATTTCCAACTGGCTTGAACTAGTTTAATACCTAATTCGATTGATCCAGATATAATTCAAACTAATAATAAAGTATTTGTTGAATCTCATTTATTAACCATCTCTGGATGAGTAGCAGATAAGGCAAGTTAAAACACATGCATTAAAATATATTTCTTGTTTTGTGCTGGTACTGGGAAACTCAGGGCCTGAATGTTGTTCCTTTGGTTTATCTCTCAAGGCTGGCACTCAGTCACTTGAACCACACCTCCATTTCTGGCTTGTTCATGTTTAATTTGGAGATAAGTATCTCTCAAAAATTTTGTCTGCCTGAGTTGGCTTTGGACCTTCATCATAATATTTCAGCCTCCTGAGTAACTAAGATTTGCAGACATAAGCCACTGGCACCTTGCTATGATAATTTTTGAAATCAACATTTGAAAGGTTGAAGATACATTGAATTATAGGTACAATTTTTTTTTAAGATGGAATATGGCTGGGCACCGGTGGCTCACGCCTGTAATACTAGACTCAGGAGGCTGAGATCTGAGAATCACAGTTCAAAGCCAACCCTGGGCAGAAAAGTCCTTGAGACTCTTATCTCCAATAAACCACTAGAAAACTAGAAGTGGCACTGTAGCTCAAGTGGTAGAGTGCTGGCCTTGAGCTGAAGAGCTGAGGGATAGTACCCAAGCCCAGAGTTCAAGCCCCATGACCGACCAAAAAAAAAAGATGGAAGATATTGGAGAGAATAGAGATGATAATTACCCAGAAAGCAAATGAGATAAAGACTATGTGATGGAGTATGATAGATTAGGATTCAAATTATTCATAAGCAACCATCTTCTTTTTATAAGGTGTGTTTAAAATTTACTTTCTGGAGAACATCATCAATTTTAACAGGACAAGGATCTAAGATGTTAAAAATAAGGTGAAGAAATATACATGTGATAAAAATCAGCTAATAAATATTTATTCTCTGTTTGACTTATGTCATATACTACCAGATATTTGGGCACCTTTATAAGGCCACCAAAGACCTCAAAGTACATCGAGGAATAGAACAGTTAGTTAGTGCTGGTGAAGCTCATAAGTGTTGGATGTGCAGCATCATGGGAGAGCCCTTTTCTATTGGGGTTGATCTTCAGCACTACAAAAATATTTTAAAAAGAAAAAAAATAGCCAATTGAAAATGAGAACGTTACCTGCAGTAATAAGATGAAAAATTATCATTTGATTTGAGTTCTAAAGCTGAAATCAGATTATGGACAAGATCAGTAATGGGTAAATGGCCCTTCAAAAGGAACAGTTTGGGAAAGAACATACAGACATAGAAGAAAAACAATAGGCCTACCAAACAGTGACACACATAGTACAGGTAGTCTTGGGTACCTGCAGGAGAGGGGACAGCATTTGGCTGTCACACTCCGAAGGGTCTTTTTACCAATATGGGCTGTTGTGACTTTCTGTGCCTCAATGAGAGAATTATATTTTCATTAGATACTATGTGATGTGTGACTGGAAAAGACAATTTGGTGGCTCAATGGAGGAAAAATGCCTGAGAGATTGATGTCAATGAGCCATTTCTCAATAGTTGGAAATTAGTGGCAAAATGAACCTGTTGAATCCTGTATAGGAACATAAAATTAGTTTAGAATAGATCATGTGATGATCGTGTGCCGTTTATAGCATGAAATATTTTCAGCTAAGGCTAGATTTGAGAGGAGGCCATTGGGAATAC